GGTGTAGAGCTGGTCCAGTGTTCCACGGCCGGGACGAAAACCACACTGCTCCTCCTGAAGCCGAGGTTCGACTATCGGCCGGACTCTCCTCTCCAATACCCTGGCGTAGGCCTTACCAGGGAGGCTGTGGAATGTGCTTCCCCTGTAGTTGGAACACACCCTCCAGTCACCCTTCTTATGAAGGGGGACCACCACCCCAGTCTGCCAGTCCAGAGAAACTGTCCCCGACCGCCACGCAATGTTGAAGAGACATGTCAACCATGACAGCCCTGAAACATAGAGACTTGAGGTACTCAGGACGGATCTCATCCATCCCCAAAGCCCTGCCACCGCGGAGCTTTTTAACCACCTTGGTGACTTCAGCCTGGTTGATGAAAGAGTCCAACCCTGAGTCCCCAGCCTCTGTTTCCACCAGGGAATGCGTGATGGCAGGATTGAGGAGATCCTCGAAATACTCCTTCCACTGCCCGATAAGGTCCCCAGTCGATGTCAGCAGCCTCCCACCCCCACTGTAAACATTGTTGGCAAAGCACTGCCTCCCCCTCCTGAGGCACCAGACGGTTTGCCAGAATTGCTTCAAGGCCAACAGGGAGTCCTTCTCCATGGCCTCACTACACTCCTCCCAGGCCTGGGTTTTGCCTCTGCCACATCCCAGGCCACGGCACGCCTGGCTTCACGGTACCCGTCAGCCACCTCAGGAGTCCCACAAGCCAACCACAAGCCAAGCCGATAGGACTCCTTCTTCAGATTGACAGCGTCCCTTACTGCCGGTGTCCACCACCGGGTTTGGGGATTGCCGCCACGAAAAGGCACCGCAGATCTTATGGCCGCAGCTACGGGCAGTCGTATCAACAATAGATGCGGAGAACATGGTCCACTCGGACTCTATGTCTCCAACATCCCCTGGAATCTGGTCAAAGTTCTCCCGGAGGTGGGAGTTGAATACATCCCTGGCCGAGGGCTCTCCCAGATGTTCCCGGCAGACCCTCACTATGCGCCTGGGCCTGCCAAGTCTGTCCGGCTTTCTCCTCTTCCAGCAGATCTAACTCACCACCAGGTGGTGATCAGTGGACAAATCAGCCCTTCTCTTCACCCGAGTGTCCAAAACATGTGGCCGAAGGTCTGACGATACAACAACAAAGTCGATCATCGACCTCCTGCCTAGGGTGTCCTGGTGCCAAGTGTACTGATGGACACCCTTATGCTTGAACATGGTGTTCATTATGTACAATCCGTGACTTGCACAGAAGTCCAATAATGAAACACCACTCGGATTCAGATTGGGGAGGCCATTCCTCCCGATCACACCTCTCCAGGTGTCACTGTCATTTCCCACGTGGGCGTTGAAGTCCCCCAGCAGAATAATGGAGTCCCCGGGAGGAGCACTATCCAGCACCCCTGACAGGGACACCAAGAAGGCCGAGTACTCCGCACTACCGCCCGGCCCCTAGGCCGAAATGACAGTCAGAGACCTGTCTCCAACCCGAAGGCACAGAGATGCGACCCTCTCATCCACTGGGGTAAACCCCAACATGAGACGGCTGAGCTGGGGGGCAACAAGCAAACCCACCACAGAAAACCACCCCTCCCCGTGGGCCACTCCAGAGTAGAAGAGAGTCCAGCCCCTCTCGAGGAGATGGGTTCCAGACCCCATGCTGTATGTGGAGGTGAGCCTGACTATTTCTAGTCGATATCTCTCGACCTCCCGCACAAACTCAGGCTCCTTCCCCACCAGGGAGGTGACATTCGATGTCCCTAGAGCCTGCCTAAGCATCCTGGGGATCATGCCGCCGAGGTCTCCACCTTTGTCTGCCGCCCAATCCTCTTTGCACCAGTCCCTCACGGTTCCCCCTGCAGGTGGTGGGCCCACTGGGGGATGGCCTCGCGTCTCTCCTTCGGGCTTGGCCCAGCCGGGTCCCGCGAGGAGCAACCCAGCCACTAGGCGCTCTCCGACGGGTCCCGTCCCCAGGCCTGGCTCCAGGGTGGGACCCCTGGTGACATCATGTGCCTAGATTGTGTAGTCCTCATGAAGGTGTCTTGAACCGCTCTTTGTCTGACCCATCACCTAGAGCCTGTTTGCCATGGGAGACCCTACCAGGGGCATTTAAGCCCCAGACAACATAGCCTCTAGGATCATTCTGGCACTCAAACCCCTCCACCACGTTAAGGTGGCGGTTCAAGGAGGGGATAAATATATATATTTCGATTTTAATTCACAATGTTTGTTTAAACCACATTTTGCAAATCACAATTTTCAAATCATATATATATATATATATTTTAACGCTATTGATTCCTTTATTTATTACAAGTGAATTTCTTGCCCTTTTGTTTTTCCTACCACTTTAATTTCTTTCAAATTTATTACCACTCAAATATGTTTAAAACATGTATTTTTCCCAAAAAAATCTATTATTTTCCCAATTTTTTTGCTGTCCTTTTATTTCTTATGCACTGATATATCCCCCCAATATATCCCTGTTGTATTTTATTACCCAAAAGATTTCCCTTAGCCCATTTATTTCCGTCTTTCTTTTTTTACATTACTCTGTCTCTGTATTGTCTTGTCCTCCTCAACGTGATCTTGGAAATGTCAATACGAACGGGGCGGGATTTAGCCAGAGGGGGCGGTCTTTGGAACCGCGTCACCGCTTTAGTTTCTCTCCTATCTGCTGAGGTCAAGCCTCTAGGAAGTAGGTGCTGAGTCTCATTATGGCTGCCTGGTCCAGAGAAGGAGCTAGCAGAAACGGCTAACTTCTGTCATGTTGCTAAAGAAGTCAAGAGCGTTGTGGATTTCCTGGTACATAGCGCTGTTAGTCAGGATAGTTTACTGTATCCTGTTACCTCTAGCTGAGAGAATAACTTAGTTTGCTGAAGCTCTAAGAGGCATTCACGTTTTTACGGACCCGCTTTCAAAATAAACGTATGACTCATTGATGGACTGTAATCACAATCTAACCAGGGGAAACATACCACAAGAACTTCAAAGTTAAATTAGGATCTTTAAATATTTACAATGTCACTTAATAATATTAAAATATACATTTTTCAAAAGTAAAGCCTGGCAAATATGGCCAATATTATTCAACATATTAACCTTTGTCATTCAAGGATGGTTTCTGTCCCAATTAAGAGTTCAGTTTATATAAATGTCACCATGTTTTATTTATATTTCATGTGGTATTCCTAAATTAAAGCCTCATAAAGATGGTATAAAGATGATATTTCCTACTTCATTTATTTATATTAATGTGGACCCTCACCTGTCAGCATTTTACTGTGATTACCTTTTTGTATAAAGAGGTTTGATTTGGCAAAACGACCAAAACAAAATGAAGAAAAAAAGGTTGAGGTTGTTTACTAATTTTATGGGATTCCTAAATTATTCCTAAATATTCTATTCCCTAGAAGTTTGCTTGTAATCTTCTACATCGTCGGTGACTTATGAAGGTGATTGTACACGAATAGCTTTATGTGTAGAAAAGTGAAGGGGTCTGAATACACATTTTTGGCTCCCAGTAGTCACAAAGATTCTCAGAGTCCTCTTAGAGAACTCCTAACTAAGCCTAAAAATTCCTCTCAAGGCATCCTAGCTTAAGAGTGATTCAGGTAGTTGCTGAGAGCAACTATGAGTGAGGAGGGGACAGATACCTTTATTTTAGTGAGGAGGTGTGGTTGATAAAAACAAATGCGCTCCTTGTAATCAATGGAAAGAAATTCACAGTCGTAGAATTTAGACTGGATTTAAAAATGTCCAAGTCATGATGATTGTTGTGATCATTATTATGACTATATTATTTAATATTTAGTATTAATATTTTAAAATTTTACTAAATAATAATTCGGTCTGTTAAGCGTTGTCCGGTGAAAACCAGCCCAATAAGGTGGTGGTATTAGGACAGTAATGAGGTACAGCTGTTCAGTAATGAGAGCCAAGCTCTGACATTACTGAACAGCAAAACTCTGCACACATGTATTAAATTCAAACAATTTTTTAAAATACAAGAATTTATTGCCAAAAATAAGTCAACTCAAAGTCAAACATATTTCAATCAAGAAACTCTTTCCTACACTAGAACAATCCAACTAAACTACCATCCAGTATAAAAGAATAAGGAAGACCACCTATGTACAATTAAACAAGTGAATCAAATATGGTTAAAAACCATGGCCAATAAGTGATGCAACATTACCATTCAATGTTATTTATGTTTGAGAACGAAGGATTACCTTGAAGAATCTGGAAATGAAGTTAAGTTAGTCTAGGAACTAATTTAGGCAATAATTGGTATACCTTCAAATAACCATTCACAAAGCAAGATCAGATAAAGCATTATTTTATTAAAATAATATTTTAAAGAATGATTTGCTAAATAAAAACCAACCTTCTGAATGATTAATTCTGTCAGTCAGTCATTTTCTACCACTTATTCCATTGTTGGTCGCGGTGAAGCTGGTGCCTATCTCCAGCAGTCTATGGGCGAGAGGCGGGGTACACCCTGGACAGGTCGCCAGTCCATCGCAGGGCAACACACAAACAACCATGCACACACTCATTCATACACCTAAGGGCAATTTAGAGACCAATTAACCTAACAGGTATGTCTTTGGACTGTGGGTGGAAGCCGGAGTACCCGGTGAGAACCCACGCATGCACAGGGAGAACATGCAAACTCCATGCAGAAAGACCACAGGCCAGGAATTGAACCCAGGAAACTTCTTGCTGCAAGGCAATAGTGCTACCAACTGCGCCACCATGCAATTAATTCTAATTAATTAGCTGCCTTTATTAATTAAAATAATATTTAAGGAAACATTATTTTGAATAACAACCAAACCTTTCTGGATAAATGAGTCTTAATAGACGTGACTCTTTATAAGACGTGTAAGTTAAGTTACCTTAGCTGTTAGCTGTTGAAGCTAAGAAAACAAACTTATAGCTTGTTATCATCCCTTTAAAATCAAACATGTATCTTTAAAATACCATCAATAAAAAGAATAAAGAAATAAAGAAAAATAAAGAAACTAGCATTGCAGCTAATCTCAGTAGCTGTGAGGGAGTCGGCTGTTTAGCTGGACCCGGCCAAACCTTATGACAAAGGCATGTTCGGCTCCATCAGTGGGTGTAGCTCTTGTTACCTGGACATCCACGCAGGAAAGCGTACGATGCGGTCTCCGGCCTTCTTTTCCAGGCCGTGTGGGGAAATCCGATTCAAGTAGGGCTGCTTCTGGAGAAGCAGAAGAAAAGTCAATGCACGCTTGTCTTATTACACCCTTTTTCTGAATGAATGCTGGATACATGAACAGCAAAATCATTACTTAACTTTGTTGCATATGATCAGCGTGATTGTAGTCACTTTTGGACCTAAGTTGAAGAGTCGTGTCGGCTTCTCAACAGAGACATTCGAGCGTCAAGCCTCTCCTGTCCGGTTCCCGTCTGAGACCCGCAGAGAAAGAGGTCACCATGTTGGAGCACGGCATTTTTGTTCAACTCTGAATCCTCCTCTTCCTGGCTGAAGTGGAAGTCAGTGTGACACTGAAATGTGTAGAAATTCATACTGGCCTTTGTTTAAGTATAGTTCAGAATCCAAATTCATCCATGTTCACTTGATGTTCGTCCATGGCTGGGTCCCAATATGATGGAACTGAGCAAAATTACATTGTCATACAGCATCAAAATGTTTGAACCTTACTTACATGCTCATCATTATTTTGATTTGCTTATTGTTATCTTCACTCACCATGCTATTTTCCTACGTAATTTATTTGATATTAATGTGGACACTCACCTGTCAGCATTTTACTGTGATTATTTTTATACGCATATAAAGAGGTTAGATTTGGCAAAACGACCAAAACAAAATGAAAAAAAGGTCGACAAAACCGACTAAGGTTGGGTGTGTCAGGATCTGCCATTTTGGTTTTTGTGTTTGTTTAGTTTCTCAGTTAGTGTTTCTGTGCTTGTTTACTGTTAGGTTATTTGTTCTTGTTGCATTCTTCTAGTTTATTAGTTCCCCTTTTCCATTTGGCCTAAGACCCCTTTTTTGTTATTATTTGCCCAGTAGCTAGTTCCCCTTAAGATTAGTTGTTCTTTCCCAGCCTAGCTCTTTAGTATAGTTCTTCATGTCCCTGCTTTGTCTAGTTAGTGTTCCTTCCAAATTTAGCCTTGTGTTTTATGTTTAGGTTTCCTTTCCCTAGAGTTGTCTTTAGTTTAGTTTAGTTTTACCCTCCTGTCTCTGTGTTGTCTCCCGTTTCCATAGTAACATATTCCCTCAGTTCCCTGCAGCCTGGTCCACACGTGTTTCATGTTTCCCCTGATTACCTGCCTCCAAGTCTCATTGGTCCATATTCCACTTCCCTCAGCTTATAAGCTCTCTAGTTTTCATTGTTCCCCGCTGGTTCCTTACGTTATCAACCCTTGCTATCTTCCCGAGTTTCTCCTTGTAGTTTGTTTTCTGTTTTGCCTCCTGAACTTGTGCTTTTGGATAACCTGCCTGTAATCTGCCTGTCTGCCTTCTGTAAGTCCACCTTCAGTTTCATTATTAAACTTCATCTACTCACCATGCGGCCTCCTTGCCATGTTCTGGATCCCGGTCCTGCCTCCAAACCCACAACAGCAACAGGGTTTTTGTTAACATTTTTCCAACAGATTTTCATCAGTCCCACAAATGACAATAGGCAATATATTCACGCAGGTGAGGCTTGGAGTTTTTTTATTGGCGGAGCAATGTAAACAGCCATGGACTGATTTGCCAATTTGGAAAACAAATGTCCAAAAATACAAAATCGCCTATTTGGCTTTACTTTGGCTTAAACCGGATGAAAAAGGTAAACCACAGAAGGTAACTAAAGCATTGGTAACTAAAGAGTGGGAATAACAATGTATCATCATGTTAATGTCAGACAAAGTTGCAGTAATGATGCAATTTGCAAACACAAATTACATGCAGAGATTTAAAAAAAAAACTTAAACAGATGATTTTTTTCAATTTTGTAAATGTCAAGTGTTTAAGTTTTTAACTTCGTTTTTCTCGTGTGTGTGTTACCATTAAATATGGTGTTGTAATTGTTGGACAGTGTAAAGATGTTTGTAAATGCACACAAATTTTGTAAGGCAGTGCTATAAATTATCTTAATTTTAATTAAAATAGTGCTGTGTGTTCAATAACAGTGCGGTCATTGGAGCTTCAGTTGACAAACATTTTTGGGGGAGGTGTTGCAGCAAGCTTTACATAGTAACAGCTTTTGTTACTGCACAGCTTCCAGGGTGATTCTAACAAAATGTTGAAGCCTGTTTTTCTTTAAAGTGCTTTGGAGAGTGCCAACATTCAAATGGTCATATCTTCTTCAATTATTTTTCAATTTCCACAAGTTTGATATCATTGGAATATGGAAGCAAATCGTTACTATATTTCAAATGAAAAAGCATTTTCAGAAATGCTTTTTCATTTTAAGAATGTGGCTGCATTGTTTGACTCATAAATGAAATTAGTAATCAATAATCCTATTTGCA